GCCCCCCAAGCCCCCCCTCCCCCCGGCTACATGCTTGCACCTAACTCCAAGGAAGCCCCTCGGGTGCTGGACGAGTGCCTTGTCATGAATGACTTCTCAATGACTTTGAAGCATAGGTTTTTTTTATTGCAATTTCCAGTGTGAGAAGGTAGATCAAATTACAGAAAACATTTAGACAAAGTTGCGACCTTTTGTAAAGGCACTCAAGACTTGGCTGTTTGGTTGTGCATTTAAGTAATCAGATCTAATTTGCCAAATGGTCACTGTTGAATGTTTTTATGTGGAATGTTTTTATATTGTGAAATGCTATTTTAGACTGTAAATCACTCGGAGCACACCTTGGTGGAGAGCGACTCATTAAGAAATAAAGTGAAGTGAAGAAGTGAAAGAATGACATTGGACATACAGATTCTATGCAGCTACATTGGATTTACAATTACATTAGTTAACAAACAAACAAACAAAGGGGAGTTACATTTTCACTCAACATTCACACACATGTGCACACATTCATCCACATGCATCCAAATATGACCATATCCTTTTCTCCCTCCTTGGAGAAGCCCCTCTTAGGCCAGACCCTGATTTCCTGCAGCCTGCCAACGCATAGGTCCATAACACCAAAACTTCAAAACGCTGAGATGCCAAAACTTCTTTCCCTGAGAACAATGCCAAGGACCAGATCACTGTTTTCCATACAGCAGAATCCGAGTCCCTGCACATAATCCAAGACTCCAAAAGCGCACTTCTTCCTCCTCTTCCTTTGAGAAAGAAGCCCCAAAGTGACCAGACGGCTCCCGTGCAGATTGCCACTCTCCATAGGGACACCACCTCTCTCCTTCCCATGGAGCAGAGCATAGCGGGTGAACCAGACTCCTCAGGTCGGTCACACTTTGAGCCCAATTAGACTTATAGGAATATTCTGTTGATGTCGTCCCAAAGTTGTAAATGAATGGTAGACGTCTTCCATCCTGGCTCCATCTCAGTTTCCTGGCCAGATGTTGATCTTCTTGATTGGTGTTGATCTTATGTTGACTTAGAATCATAGAATCATAGAATCAAAGAGTTGGAAGAGACCTCATGGGCCATCCAGTCCAACCCCATTCTGCCAAGAAGCAGGAATATTGCATTCAAATCACCCCTGACAAATGGCCATCCAGCCTCTGTTTAAAAGCTTCCAAAGAAGGAGCCTCCACCACACTCCGGGGCAGAGAGTTCCACTGCTGAACGGCTCTCACAGTCAGGAAGTTCTTCCTTATGTTCAGATGGAATCTCCTTTCTTGTAGTTTGAAGCCATTGTTCCGTCCTAGTCTCCAGGGGAGCAGAAAACAAGCTTGCTCCCTCCTCCCTGTGACTTCCTCTCACATATTTATACATGGCTATCATATCTCCTCTCAGCCTTCTCTTCTTCAGGCTAAACATGCACAGCTCCTTAAGCCGCTCCTCATAGGGCTTGTTCTCCAGACCCTTGATCATTTTAGTCGCCCTCCTCTGGACACATTCCAGCTTGTCAATATCTCTCTTGAATTGTGGTGCCCAGAACTGGACACAATATTCCAGGTGTGGTCTAACCAAAGCAGAATAGAGGGGTAGCATGACTTCCTTAGATCTAGACACTATGCTCCTATTGATGCAGGCCAAAATCCCATTGGCTTTTTTTGCCGCCACATCACATTGTTGGCTCATGTTTAACTTGTTGTCCACGAGGACTCCAAGATCTTTTTTACACGTACTGCTCTCGAGCCAGGCGTCACCCATTCTGTATCTTTGCATTTCATTTTTTCTGCCAAAGTAGAGTATCTTGCATTTGTCACTGTTGAACTTCATTTGTTAGTTTTGGCCCATCTCTCTAATCTGTCAAGATCGTTTTGAATTCTGCTCCTGTCCTCTGGAGTATTGGCTATCCCTCCCAATTTGGTGTCGTCTGCAAACTTGATGATCATGCCTTCTAGCCCTTAATCTAAGTCATTAATAAAGATGTTGAACAGGACCGGGCCCAGGACGGAACCCTGCGGCACTCCACTTGTCACTTCTTTCCAAGATGAAGAGGAAGCATTAGTGAGCACTCTCTGTGTTCGTCCACTTAACCAATTACAGATCCACCTCACCGTTGTTTTGCCTAGCCCACATTGGACTAGTTTCCTTGCCAGAAGGTCATGGGGGACCTTGTCGAAGGCCTTACTGAAATCCAGGTACGCTACATCCACGGCATTCCCCGCATCTACCCAGCTTGTAGCTCTATCGAAGAAAGAGATCAGATGAGTCTGGCATGACTTGTTTTTGATAAATCCATGTTGACTATTAGCGATGACCGCATTTGTTTCTAAGTGTTTGCAGACCGCTTCCTTCACAATCTTTTCCAGAATCTTGCCCGGTATCGACGTGAGGCTGACCGGACGGTAGTTGTTTGGGTCATCCTTTTTTCCCTTCTTGAAGATTGGGACCACATTGGCCCTCCTCCAATCTGCTGGAACTTCTCCCGTTCTCCAAGAACTCTCAAAGATGGTTGCCAATGGTTCCGAAATGACTTCCGCTAGTTCCTTCAATACTCTGGGGTGTAGTTGATCTGGCCCTGAAAGGGGACTTTAGAGCGGCCAGGTATTCCTAGACGACTTCTTTCCCAATTTGGGGTTGGATGTCCTCCAATCCTTCATCCACTCCATCTTGCTGAGGTTGAAGACTCTCTTTTTGTGAGAAGACCGAGGCAAAGAAGGCATTAAGTAGTTCTGCCTTTTCCCTATCATCCCCTGTCAGCATTGAAGAGACTTCCTTCTTAACATAAGGAAGGTTGCAAACATTTCCTTTATCACTGTCCCAATTCTTATCAGAGTTTACACTTCAGATCTCATTGACAGGTTTTAATCACAAAGCAGCAAGCAGGTAGTTAGTCATTGCAGGCCTTAATATTATGCTGGTCTTTCCTAGATACATCCATCCATCCTTCATTCCCACACATCATATTAAAGTCATATTTGTCAAATCTGCAATAATATTTTCGTGACAGCCTGACCGCTGTGACGTTCTGGATGAGGACGAATAAGCTGAGGATAAATCCTGACAAAACAGAGGTCTTCCAGGTCAATCGTAAAATGTAAAATGTGTGCTGAAATTATATCAAATTTCATGATAAAACGAGGGAGGAATGAGCCCCCGAAGTTTCCCACTTGCTCAATTACTTAACAAAAAAGGAACTAAAAAGTCATTACTTCGTTCTAGGTACAAAAATGTTTTCGGTCAAAGCAGCTTATAATTAAAAGCACCACAATAAAACCTAAAATATATAAAAATACAAATATTAAACCAGTATTATTATATATTATAATAAGCTAGTATTTTATATAATACTAGCTTGGAAACCCGGCGGTGCCCGGGTTATTTGAGAAAGGCATTTTTTGTCTGTGCTCCAAGTTTAGTATAGATCCAATGTCTCTGGAAGTGAGTGAAAGTAATTGAAATCCCATCATCCATGGCCTATCTTCCCCCAAAACACACCAGGATGTAAAGTAGTCATGGGGGTTCTGTGTGTCAAGTTTGGTCCTGATCCGTCATTGGTTTGGGTCACAGTGGTCTTAGGAAGTGAGTGAAGGTACTGCAAGTCCCATCATTCATGGTGCATCCTCCCCCAAACCATGCCAGGATGTAGGGGGTTATGGGGGCTCTGTGTGACAGGTTTGATCCTGGTCTCTGATTTGTAGGGGCCACAGTGTTCTGTAGGAAGCAAATCAGATGAAGGTATCGCATATCCCATCATCCGTGGCCCATCCTCCCCAAACATCACCAGAGCGTGAGGTGGGTCATGGGGGTTATGTGTGTCAAGTTTGGTCCATGTCCGTCATTCATGCTGGTCTCAGTGAATAGAGGTACTGCAAGTTCCATAGTCCGTGGTCCATCCTCCTTCAAACCACATCAGGATGTAGAGTGGGTCATGGGGGCTCTGTGTGCCAAGTTTGTTCCAGATCTGTCATTGGTGGGCATCACAGTGGTCTATGGGAATTGAAGTGAATGAAAGCACTGCAAATCCTATCATCCTCCCCCAAACCACACCAGGGCGTAAAGTGGTTCATGAGGGTTATAAGTGCCGAGTTTGGTCCAGGTACACCATTCGTGCGGGTAGCAGTGGCCTGTGAAAGTGGGAGCCAGTCAGAAAGCTGCAACATATCCACATACATACAAACATACATTCATTTTTATAACATACTACCTTGGGGACCTGGCACTGCCCAGGTTATTTGAGAAAGGCATTGATTGTGCCCCAAGTTTAGTCTAGATCCAATGTCTGCTGGGTTTACTGGGTTTAGGTGAACTACAACTCCAATATGCAAGTCCCATCATCCATGGTCTATCGTCCTCCAAACCGCACCAAGATATAAAGTGGTCATGGGGTCTCTGTGTGCCAAGTTTGGTTTCTCTCAGTCATTGTTGTGGGTCACAGTGGTCTCTGACAGTGAGTGAAGGTACTGCAAATCCCATCGTCCATGATCCATCATCCCACAAACTGCACCAGGTCATAGAGTGTATCATGGGGGCTCTGTGTGCCAATTTTGATCCTGATCTGTCGTTGGTTTGGGTCACAGTGGTCTATGGGTATCAGTGGTCTCAGGAAGTGAATGAAGGTACTGTAAGTCCTATCATCTGTGATCCATCTCGCTCTGAACCACACTAAGATGTAGATTGGGTCATGGGGGATCTGTGTGCCAAGTTTGCTCCAGATCTGTCATTGGTAGGCATCACAGTGGTCTATAGGACCTGAAGTGAATAAAAGTACTGCAAATCCCATCATCCGTGGTTCATCCTCATCCAGATTGCACCAGGACGTAAAGTGGGTCATGGGGTAATGTGTGCTAAATTTGGTCCATGTCTGTCGCTTGTGTGGGTCGCTGTGGCCTGTGAAAGTGGGAGCCAATTAGAAAGCTGCCACATACATACATACATACATACAAACACTGACTTTTATTATAGACTCGCTTATTTGAAAAGGGTATTGTTGGTTTTTTTTGGATGTTAGGCAATATATGTTTTGTCATTTGTTATGCTATGTCTTAGAAAACAACTCAGTCTTTGCTTTTGTTTTTTATGAATGCTCCCATTATAAAATGCATAAGGATGTGGATTAACTACATTTCCCAAAAATCTTGGGTCAACCTTCCCCAACCTCCACTAGTATTCACAACTGGCCATGGCAGGGCCTTACCTTGTAAAAGGACAGCACCTTTTCAAAAGACCCTGGCCAAAGCTGCCTTCCTTGGGCCAATGTTGAAAAGGGAAGATGGTGTCCTCTTTGGGGCCTAGTAGGGCGGAGCCAGAAGTGTCTGGGGAGGCTGGGATAGGAGGTTTGGGGGCTAGAAGTGTTCATAAGCATAAAAAGGTCATGGGGGCTCTTTGTGCCAAGTTTGGTCTTGATCTGTCTTTGTTGGGGGCCACAGTGGCCTCTGATTGCCCAAACATTTTAAAGTATTACAAATCCCATAATCCATGGTCCACTTCTCTAAGTGGGTCATGGGGGTTATGTGTGCCAAGTTTGGTCCAGGTCGGTCATTCGTGGGGGGAGGGGTCATAGTGGCCTGCGGAAGTGTCAGCCAATCAGAAAGCTGCCACATGCCCACAAACATACATACATACATACACTGACTTATATATAGACTAGCTTGGGGACCCAGTGGTTAAGGAAACATTAGTAAGTTGGACATCTTGGATATTGGTAGAATGGAGGATATATGGAGAGGGCAGCCACCTTGGATATTGGGAGATGGATTAATTAAGAAGTTGGCCATCTTGGATAGTAGGAAAGGTCAACCATCTTGGATACTGGGAGAAGAAATATGGAGAAAGAGGGCATCTTGAATATTGAGAGAGGAAGAGATAGATTAGTAAGTCTGGTTTTCCTTTCATTCATCCGGCAGGTAACCTCTGAACGGATCTTGTGAAGAACGTCCTGTGAGAGCTTTGTCCTAGCAATGCTTTAAGACTGAAATGGAGGTACACAGCACTGGCAAGAAAAAGAAATAAGTAGGAGAAAAATATATTTCAAGCCACATGCCTGGGCAATCAAGGAGGAAAGGAAGGACTGAGAGGTTAAAAGAAAGGCTAAGGAAAGAGACCAGAAGCTACAGCAATATAAAGCCCAAGAAGAGGAAATATTGTGCTGTTCAGAAGTCCATATATGTGAACTTCTGACATAATATTTGAATGATAAATTTAAAAGAATGGAAAATCTTCATCCCAGTTCCACATCACAAACAGAGGAGAAGTTACATAAGTGTATGGATTGTGGGAAATGTTTCATGGGGATAAGTTCTCTTACTAAACATCAACAAACTCACACAAGGGAGAAGCAATATCAATGCATGGAATGTGGAAAGACCTTCCGTCAGAGTGGAAATCTGCGTTCCCATCAAAGAACCCACACAGAAGAGAAGCCTTATCAATGCATTGAATGTGGAAAGAGCTTCAGTCGGAGTGACAGTCTGCATTCCCATCAAAGGACCCACACAGGAGAGAAACCACATCAATGCATGGAATGTGGAAAGAGCTTCAGCTGGAGTGGAAATCTGCGTTACCATCAAAGGACCCACACAGGGGAGAAGCAGTATCAATGCATAGAATGTGGAAAGGGCTTCAGTCACAGTGGACATCTGCGTCGCCATCAAAGGACCCACACAGAGGAGAAGCGACATCAGTGCATTGAATGTGGAAAGAGCTTTAGTCGGAGTGACAGTCTGCATTCCCATCAAACAGTCCACACAGGAGAGAAGCCACATCAGTGTATGGAATGTGGAAAGAGCTTCCGTCGGAGTGGAGATCTGTATTCCCATCAAAGGACCCACACAGGGGAGAAACCATATCAATGCATGGAATGTGGAAAGAGCTTCAGTCAGGGTGGAAACCTGCGTTCCCATCAAAGTATCCACACAGAGGGGAAACCACATCAATGCATGGAATGTGGAAAGAGCTTCAGTCAGAGTGGAACTCTGCATTCCCATCAAAGGACCCACACCGGAGAGAAGCCACATCAATGCATAGAATGTGGAAAGAGCTTCAGTCACAGAGGAAATCTGTGTTCCCATCAAAGGACCCACACAGGAGAGAAGCCGTATCAATGTATTGAATGTGGAAAGAGCTTCAGTCGGAGTGGAGATCTGCGTTCCCATCAAAGGACCCACACAGAAGAGAAGCCTTATCAATGCATGGAATGTGGAAAGAGCTTCAGTCGGAGTGGAGATCTGCGTTCCCATGAAACAATCCACACAGGGGAAAAGCCATATCAATGCATGGAATGTGGAAAGAGTTTCAGTTGGAGTGGACAGCTGCGTTCCCATCAAAGGATCCACACAGGAGAGAGGCCCTATCAATGCATGGAATGTGGAAAGAGATTCAGTTGGAGTGGAGATCTCCGTTCCCATCAAAGGACTCACACAGGGGAAAAGCCATATCAATGCATGGAATGTGGAAAGGTCTTCAGTCACAGTGGACATCTGCGTTCCCATCAAAGGACCCACATAAGAGAGAAGCCACATAAATGCATTGAATGTGGAAAGAGTTTCACTCAAAGTGGAGCTTTGCACTCCCATCAAAGGACCCACACATTGCTAGAGGAAGATACCTGCCTTTGAGTTTCCTAGCCCTGCTTAAAAAAGTCCACCAAACAAGGGTCCCATTCCTCCACAGGCAAGCAAAGAATGGAAGCAAAAAGGAAGGCCGCCACCTTGTTCTCTATCTGTCATGGACAGCAGTCTGTGTGGCCTGGCTTGATTGCTGCTGGGGGCCGGTCCCCCACAGAGGAGGACTCTTCTCAGTATTGCAGCCATTTTGAAAGGGTTAACCTGATCTCTTTGTCAAGGAAAGCATCACAGGCTTCTCGGATGATCTGTGAAGGTGTGATGAATTCCCTACGTGTTAGGCTAGGAAAAGTCTAGAAAAGTAGACCCAGGAAGTTCGGCAGCCATTTTGGAAAGGGTGCCTGGGGAATCCATTTTTTATACTCATTTCCTGAAGGGGGCGTGCTTAGAAACAGCTTGGAGGGAAATGTGGGGAGTTAGTGATTGGCTGAGAGAGAGTGGGCGGAGCTTAACTTGGAAAAGAAAAAAAGCTACTTTAAGGGTGTATTTTAAAAACCCTGTCAGCTCAGATTGAGTCTGGGTGTCAAAGGAGAAAGAGTTAGGAGTTTGGAGTGGAGAAGAGAATAGTGAGAGAGGCCTGAAGTTGGTCAGTTAGCTAGCAGAGATAGCTAGTGAGAAGATTTTACAGCTATTATGGAAGATAGCTGGTGGAGGAGTGTAGAGATAGATCCAGGAAAGGACTATCTGTGGTGGAGTTTAGAGTTACTTTCAGAGTAGAAATCCTGTCAGTAATTTCCGGAGGGAGAGAGGAGTGTACCTTACAACTAAGTTTGAACTGCTTAAAGAAACCACATGCTTTTGTCAATACTTCAGAACAGCTAAGCTAATGCCTGTTTTGTTCAAGTTCTCATAAATAATCATCTTTGTTTTATTGTTCACAACATCTGTCTCATGTGTGCCTCTGTGGGTGAAGTTATAAAAGCAGTTTCCTGCAGCAATCAAAAGTCTAATTGTGGCAGCGTATATTTTAAAAGAGTAATCTTTTCAGTGTTGCCTCAGAACACAAGCCTGAGTGCGAAACCAGCACACTCTTGCCTAAGATACTTCAAGTAAGCCAAAGGCTTAACTTCCCTTTTCGTTTAATGGGTGCCAGAGCTCTTTCAAAGGGTTTTTTTCGGCCAGAAGTTTGTTCCAGCTTAGGGCAGTTTTTTGATTCTAGGTTTTTAAACACTGAAGCCATTTTCAATCACAAGTGGTGTACAGCGTCGATCTCACTACCTCTGAGGATGCTTGCCATAGATGCAGGCAAAACGTCAGGAGAAATGCCTCTAGAACATGACCCTATAGCCCGAAAAAAACCACAAGAACCTAGTGATTCCAGCCATGAAAGCCTTCGACAATACCTTTGTATTGTTGTCCTGGATATTATCTCTGCTGCCTTGGTTTCATTTCTGATTCTGGCCTTGTTCCCGTAACCCTGTTCTGGACTCGGTTGTATCCTGAATCATTGACTCTAACTTCTGGACTGACTTCCTGGTTTGATTTATGGGCTTCAGTTTGCATCCTTGCCTTGACTTTGGAATCCTGACTTTGCATTCTTGGTTGTTATTTTAGGAACTCTGATGAATGAGCTCCTGTCAATCACCTGCGTTCCTGTTGGACTGTAGCCTTGGCTGTTGCTTGTTCTTGCTCCTGCCCTGGCTCCGTGGTACTCCGCTTGTGTGCGTTAACTGGACTCTTGACCTTGCCTTGTGTGCTCCTGTTGTCTTATTTTAGCCAGACCTTCAAAAGTTCAGTTTTCTTATAGAAAACTAGATGACCAACAGGCGATCTAGTCCAACCCTCTTCTTCCATACAGGAAAAGCACAATCAAAGTATACCTGGCAGACGGCCATCCAGCCTCTGTTGAGAAGTTTCCTTGGAAGGAGCTTCCATCAGACTCCAAGGAGGAGAGATCCGCTGCTGAACGGCTCTTCTTATGGTCAGGAAGTTCTTTCTAATGTTCAGGTGGAATCTCCTTCCCTGTAATTTATTTATTTTGTATCAAACGCATTGCATAAATTAGTATAAAACTGATAAAAATAGCACAAGTGGCTAAATATCTTTTGACCAAAAATGGGCAAAGCAACCACATTGTCTGTGGCCGCCAATAATTCTTCCTCTGTACACGCGGCAGTTGTCTGTTCTGCTTCACAGGCACGCAAGGAGGAGGGTTCTGTTAGGCAGTGCCATTTTGCCAAAAGGGTTTTCCCTTGTGACCTGCCCACGCCACTTCCACGTTGCCCATTCTTGGTTTGCCTTGTAATTTGAGCCCATGGCCCCATTGAGTCCCAATTTCCAGAACAGCCGAAAAGAAGCCTGCTCTCTCTTCCTTGTGACACTTTTAACACATTTATACATGGCTTTCGTGCCTCCTCTCCACCTTCTATTCTGCAGGCTAAATTTATTATTTATGTGTGTATTTCATTTGTATACTGCTTTTCTCCCCCAGGAGAGACTCCAAGTGGCTTCCAACGTATTCACAGCAAAAATTAAATGCCTCACAGCATATAGAAACCTAGTATAAAAGCAACTGTAAGATATAGCTATACAGTAAAATATTAAACCAATAGAGAAACAACATCTAGACATTTAAACATGGAATTAAAAACATATTGATATAAACATTGAGATCATATAAACAGGCCCAGTTCTTTAAGCTGCTCCTCAGGGGCTCCTCCTAATGTGGTGTCATCTGCAAACTAGACGAGTATGCCCTCCAAACCTTCATCCAAGTCACTAATAAAGGCGTTGAACATCACTGGGCCCAGGACCAAGCCCTCTTCTTTCCAGGATGAAGAGGAAGAGCCATTGGGGGGGGGGCACCCTTTGGGTTCGGTAGCTAACCAATTAGGAGATCCACCTCACAGTACTCTTGCCTGGCCCATATTGGACTAGTCCGTTCTCACGAAGGTCATGGGGGACTAAGTCCAAGGCCTTGCTGAAATCAAGATCTGCTCCATCCACAGCATTACCAGCATCTACCAAGCTTGTAACTCTATAAAGAAATAGATAAGACAAGGCTGGCATTACTTGTTTTTGAGAAATTCCTGCTCACTTTGAGTGATCACAGCATTCCTTTCTAAGTAAATACGGTTTTGGCTTACCTTGTCTTTGCTTAATAAGCCTCATCCTTGATACCAGGAGACCCTCGGCCCACGAGGCCACCCCTTCTGCTTTGTGCCTATTTATCCCTGCTCAGTGTGAACCTCCTGTAGTAACAGAGACTGTTTAATGATTATTTTGTCAATATTTCTTTTAAAACTTGTAATGAATATTTTTGCAAATATTTTAATGAATATTTTGTTACTATTTTTATTAATATTTCTGCAATTTTTATGATCATTTTTCTGACTATTTTGGAATTTTGATAATATTTCTATGAATATATTTAGGAATATTTTCTGAATATTTTATGGTTTTCTGTGAATATATTTGTGAATATTTTCTATGAATATTTTCATGAAGAGTTCTGATTTTTTGTGAATATTTCTGTAAATATGTATATAATTATTTCTTGTGAATATTTCTGCAAATATTAGGATACACAGCATCTCTCCCTAACAGCAGAATCGAAGACAAAGAACGATGATAACAGCTGATGAAGATTCATGAATCTGTTGATATGAACAAACGGAGTAAGCTGCAATAATAATAATAATAATAATAATATAATAATAATATAAATATATACTAATATGTTATTATATAATATATATGATATAGTATATTATAATGTGGTATAATTATATAAATAATCTATACACATAATAAAAGTGAAAAGCATGTACGTGCGTGTGGCAGAGGTGTCCACTTACACCTCTGCCACACGCACCATTTCCACAAAGAGCTATAACTTCCTCCATTCAAGAGGCACCAATGGCCCTCCCTCCGATGTACATTGCAGGTTACAGTGAGTGTCAGACCCCAGGGTTCCTCTCTCTCCATTGGTGTGGAATTTGTATGATCCCACCCACTGCCTCTTGCGTAACCCTTTCCTACCATTTCCTGTGGCACACAGCAAACAGGAATAAATCAGCGACTGAACAGGGGTTTCGGGTACTGACTCAACAGGATGTAGGTTTATTTATTTATTTATTTATTTATTTATTTACAGTATTTATATTCCACTCTTCTCACCCTGCAGGGGACTCAGGGCGGATTACAATGTACATATACATGGCAAACATTCAATGCCATAGACACACAACATACATAGACAGACACTCAGAGGCTGGGGTAGCTTTTTCATGAGAGTATTCTGGCCACCAGGGGAGCTGTCGCTTCACCGTCCATTTGTGACACTGATGGAGTACTTCCTCATTCTTTCCATGCTTGCTGGAGATTTTTATGGCGTCGTAAATTAGCCTCCCCGCAGAAGCGGTACCTAAATTTCCTACTTGACAGACGCAACTGCCTTTTGGACTGCAAAGGTCAACAGCAAGCTACACAAATTGGTCGGAAGCTCACTCCAACGCAGGCTGCCTTTGAACTCATGACCTTTTGGTCAGTTGTGATCTTAATGCAGCTGACTCCCAGCCAGCTTCGCCACCGTTCACCTTCATCCTTCCATACCAGAGGTACGCATGCCACCCTGCTCTTAGATCGTGACCCTCTAGTGTCAATACTTTCTTATTTTGCAGAGTTATTCGTTCTTTTATCCATTCCATGCTGCTGGCTTTGCAATATAGGCCTAAATTTGGCAGTCCAAAACCTCCTCTTCTTTCATCTGTTAAGTTTGTATAGTTTATTCTGGGTTTCTTGTTGTTCCAGATGAATTGTGTTAAATCTTTATTCCAGTCTTTAAAGACTTGCATTTTTATAATTACAGGTAGTTTCTGAAACAGACATATCATTTTCGAAGGAACATTTGTTTAATAACTGATATTCTGCGCAGTAGAGATAGTTTCAGGGTCGCCCAATTCTTTAGATTCTTTTTGAGTTCTTTCCATTTATATTTGTAATTGTTTTGCATTTGTTGTGAATTTTTAGCCATAATATATCTATTCCTAGATACTTTATTTTACTTTTGCTTTTTTCATGACCAGGGAAAACGAGGATTCTATGGAGCGACCTCTTGGGTGCTATAAGGAAAAAAATAACATAAGAAGAAGAAATCATCTCAAGGTGACAGTCTTACAGAATTCCTGACTTCACTTACAGATAAGAAGAAAAAAAGAAGCGTCAACTCTCTATTGCATTTAAATGCCCATATGATCGTGGCCATGACGGAGAAAGCATCAAAATGCCTGGAGTGTGGAAAGAGTTTCACTCGGAGGGATCATCTGCAGCAGCATCAAAGGACCCACACTGGAGAGAAACCCTACACATGCCTGGAGTGTGGAAAAAGCTTCGCTGAGAGTGGAAGTCTACGTTCGCATCAAAGGACTCACACTGGAGAGAAACCCTACACATGCTTGGAGTGTGGAAAGAGCTTCACTGAGAGTGGAAACCTGCGTTCTCATCAACGGACCCACACTGGAGAGAAGCCCTATACATGCCTGGAGTGTGGACAGAGCTTCACTCAGAGTTCAGGTTTACATTCACATAAAAGGACTCACACTGGAGAAAAGCCCTATACATGCCTGAAATGTGGAAAGAGTTTTGCTTGGAGTGTAAAGCTACGTTCACATGAAAGGACTCACACTGGAGAGAAACCTTATAAATGCCTAGAGTGCGAAAAGAGCTTTGCTGAGAGCGGACATCTGCGTTCACATCAACGGACTCACACCGGGGAAAAACCCTATACATGCTTGGAGTGTGGAAAGCGTTTCACTGAGAGTGGAAGCCTACGTTTGCATCAAAGGACTCACACTGGAGAGAAACCCTATACGTGCCTGGAGTGTGGAAAGAGTTTCACTTATAGTTCAGTTCTACGTTCACATCAACGAACTCACACTGGGGAGAAACCCTATACATGCCTGGAGTGTGGACAGAAGTTCACTGAGAGTGGAAGCCTGCGTTCACATCAAAGGACTCACACTGAAGAGAAACCCTATTCATGCCTGGAGTGTGGACGGAGCTTCACTCAGAGTTCACGTCTACGTTCACATCAACGGACTCACACTGGGGAGAAACCCTATACGTGCCTGGAGTGCGGAAAGAGCTTTGCTCAGAGTAGAAACTTACATTTGCATGAAAGGACTCACACTGGAGAGAAACCCTATACGTGCCTGGAGTGTGGACAGAGTTTCACTTATAGTTCAGGTCTACATTCACATCAGTGGACTCACATGGGCAGGAAATCTTATACATGCCTGGAGTGTGGAAAGAGTTTTGCTTGGAGTGCAAGCCTGCGTTCACATGAAAGGACTCACACTGGGGAAAAACCCTATAAATGCCTGGAATGTGGACAGAGCTTCACTCAGAGTTCAAGTCTACGTTCGCATCAATGGATCCACACTGGGGTGAAACCCTATAAATGCCTGGAGTGTGGAAAGAGCTTTGCTCAGAATGCAGTTCTACATAAACATCAAAGGACTCACACAGGGGAGAAACCCTATACGTGCCTGGAGTGTGGAAAGAGCTTTGCTTGGAGTGGACGTCTACGTTTGCATCAAAGGACACACACTGGGGAGAGACCTTATAAATGCCTGGAGTGTGGAAAGAGCTTTGCTGAGAGTGGACATCTGCGTTCACATCAACGGACTCACACGGGGGAAAAACCCTATACATGCCTGGAATGTGGGCTGAGCTTCATTCAGAGTTCAGGTCTACATAGACATCAGATGATTCACACTGGGGAGAAACCAGAGTGTGGAAAGAGCTTCTCAGAGTTCAAATTTACATAGGCGTAGAATTCACACTGGAGAGAATAGTGGTATTTTTGTATAAATTTTTATTGAGAGATAGGAGAGAAAATAGTAACAACAACAGTGGTATTTGACACCTAATAATAATAACACCTCCTGCCATGCAGGAAAAGCTCAATCAAAGTATCCCTGACAGATGGCATGTGGAAAGAGCTTCTCTGAGAGTTGAAATCTATATAGACATTGGAGGCTGTGCCACCGGGGGGCGGGGGTGGGGGTGGGGGTGGAGCCCAAATACATCCTGCTTTAATGGGGTTACTATTTATCTACTCAGGTTTGTTTTCGAACTGCTAGGAATATATTTATTTACATTATTTCTATCCCGCCCATATCAGCCCAAAGGTGACTCAGGGCGGCAGAAGCTAGGCTAAAGGTCAGGAGCTCACCCTGACCTGGGCTTTGAACTATCAGCCTTCCAGTTGGCAAGATTTATTGCAGTTTGGTGGTTAACCTACTGTGCTAAAGCCCAGCCCTTTTTCTTATTTTGTTTTATTTTGGCAATCTGTTGTGGTGGCCACTCAGAGAGTCTTTCCATTATATATTATGAAATTACCATGTTTCTCTTTTTCTTAATAATAAAAGTGTTTGCAAATGCCAGGGATTCAAATCAGCATGCAATTCCCCATTGTGCAGCGGAAGAGACGCTCCACTCCTGTTTATTGTTGGTTGGATATCTGAGTTGGATGAATTATTATTATTATTATTATTATTATTATTGTTGTTGTTATTTTACTGACACAAAAACGCAGTAGGACACAGCAAACAAGATATATGTGCTGGATGCTGCTGCTGCTTCTGCTGCTGCTGATGATGATGATGATGATGATTATTATTTATACATAGCTTTTCCTATTTGAGAGGGCTGAAATCAGCTTACAGTACAAACTAAATGAAATACAATTTAAAATCTCAAAATATATAACCACTTACAAATAATTAAATATTAATGGCATTAAAAAGTTAAAAAAATCCTTCTAAGATGGATTGGAAATCTGTTCATGAGTATGTATGGAAAATGCAATTCAACACGGAGTCGGCTTATTCATGAGTATGTTTGGTAATTGCACTTATACACGGAGTTGACTCATTCATGAGTGTATATATGGTCATTTTTTGGAAATTTTGCTAATACTGTTTTCTTGAAATCATAAAACATGCACATTGTTGGTCAGGATCGACAGTATTCTGTGGAATTCCAACAAGGATTTGATTTGTCCACGCCAACCTCTTTTCCACGTATGGATTGCACAGCAGTATGTTCGCAAAACAGGCAATTATGGTATGATATCGTGGAATCCTTTGTCACCAACAATTTTTGTGAGTCTGACGGGTGTGAAGAGATACATAACATGCATAATTTTTGATGGATTACGTTTTATTTAAGGTATAGTTAAGCTTAAGATTTATTTTATGTGGGGTATTATATTTGTACTTATTGTCATTGAGGCATTGAATGTTTGCCTTTTGCTTGTTGGGAACTGCTCTGAGATCCCCAGGGGCGAGAAGGTGGAATATAAAGTTATTTATTTATATTATTATTATTATTATTATTATTATTATTATTATTATTATTATTATTGTCAAAGGCTTTCATGGCCGGAATCACTGGGTTGTTGAAGGTTTTTTCGGGCTATATGGCCATGGTCTAGAGGCATTGACTCCTGACGTTTCGCCTGCATCTATGGCAAGCATCCTCAGAGGTCGTGAGGTCTGTTGGAACCAGGAAAAAGGGGTTTATATATCTGTGGAATGATGACCAGGGTGGGACAAAGGACTCTTGTCTGCTGGAGCTAGGGGTGAATGTTTCAACTGACCACCTTGTAATCCACAAGCATGTGGACAATTTCAACAGAAAGGAGGAAACCATGAAAATGAACAAAGTCTGGCTAACAGTATTTAAAAAACCCTAAAATTACAACAGCACAACAACAGAGAGGAAACAAACAAGGACATCTAATCACCTCTCAACAACGGATTACTCCAGGCACTGCCAGGCCATCCAATGCTAATCAAGGTGGTCAGTTGAAACATTCCCCCCTAGCTCCAGCAGACAAGAGTCCTTTGTCCCACACTGGTCATTGACATAGACCTTGACATATGCGAGTTGTAGTCACTGGGATTTATAGTTCACCTACAATCAAAGAGCATTCTGAACTCCACCAAGGATGGAATTGAACCAAATATGGCACACTGAACTCCCACGACAAACAGACTATATATCAGTGATTGGTTGCGGGGGGGGGGGGGGGGGGGGGGGGATACTGTTTGCTTACCGTTGAAAATTACCTTGGGCCACCTCTGCTCCCCGCCCTCACCCCCCCACCGCACCCTGCTTGCTCCCAACCCCCTCCCCTCCCCTCCCCCCTCCTGCGTGGCAGACTGAAGGGGGCAGGGCTGTGTGGCGCTGGGGGTGGGGCTTCCATTGGAATACTCAATCTTACGTTGGATTGGGACTGGTATGTGTACACACACACACACACACACATTCTATGTCATGCAGTGTACCGGGGAGGGGGGGAGGGGCTTGCTGCCTGAGCCATTCCCTTCTTTGAAGGGGGGAGGGGGGCAGAGACCAATCCTGAAGCTTCCTTCCTGCCTTCCGGCTTGATTTATTGACAAAGGAAAAAAGTGTGACGTCCATGAGAGCGGCACCCGTGAAATGAGGCCCTGAACGCCACCCGCGTGTGCCACGGGTGCCGACGCCGAGGAGGCTCTGCTGGTCCCGAGCCAGAGCCTGCCGCCAGTCATGGACGGGATGAGAGCCGACAAGCGGAAACCAAATCCAGACAAGGCAGAGGCCCTTCTGGCCAGTCGTAAGGCGGATCAGGGTGTGGGATTACAGCCTGTGCTGGACGGGTCCGCGCTCCCCCTGAAGACACAGGTCCGCAGCCTGGGGTGATCCTGGACCCATCACTGACCCAGAACCCCAGGTGTCAGCGTTGCCAGGAGCGCAGTCAGCACTTGTGCGCCAGCTGCGCCCGTCCCTTGAGACACCTGACTTGGCCACAGTAGTCCATGCCTTCGTCACGTCCCGTTTGGACTACTGCAACGCTCTCTACTTGGGGCTGCCTTTGAAGGTCGTTCGGAAGCTTCAAATGGTCCAGAGATCGGCAGCCAGGCTACTAACTGGAGCGCCATTCAGGGAGAGAACTACTCCCAAGTTGCAGCAGCTCCACGGGCCGCCAGTCTGCTTCCGGTCTAAATACAAAGTGCTGGCTCTTACCTTTAAAGCCCTGAATGGCTTCTTAGGCCCAGACAATTGGACAAGCCACATCTCCCTCTAGAGACCAGCTGCTGTCATCAGAGGAGGCCCTCCTCTCAGTTCCACCCCCGTCCCAAGCTCGGCTGGTGGGAACAAGAGGAAGGGCCTTCTCCGTGGATCCCCCCCCCCCCATCTCTGGAACTCCCTTCCTAAGGAGTTAAAGACAACCCCCCCTCCCTCCCCGCTTTCAAGAAACAGCTGAAGACGTACCTTTGCGCACTGGACAACCAGAAGAGGAGGAGGAGTTGGGAAGACTACCATTACACACCTGATTAATAGTTGCCATCCGTATCCGTGCCCGGCTCGTCCCACCAGCTCAGTAGACATCTTGAACAACGATTAATCTATTTTCCCCAAGAAACTGGGAAATTACTGTTTCTATTCAATGTTTGATGTTTTGACTTATGTCTGTTATATAACAGGCTGCGTTTTTTAAATTTAATATTAGTTGTTAAGTCTTAATTTGTGTTTATATGTTGGGTTGTTTGAATTTTGTTAGTATGGATGTATTGTTGCATTCGGGCATTGAGTGTTTGCCTTTTATGTTTGGAATCCACCTTGAGTGCCTTCGAGGAGATAAAGCGGAATATAAATAAAATTATTACTATTATTATTATTATTATTATTATTATTATTATTGACACTTATTAGTTGTAGGTACTGGGATTTATAGTGCACCTACAAACAAACACCACTCCGAACTCCACCAACAATGGACCAAACTTGGCACAGACAATCCCTGTGGGGTCCTGCAAGGCTCCATTCTGTCTCCATTCATGCTTTTTAACATCTACATGAAACCGCTGAGAGAAGTCATCTGGAGTTTTGGAGTTGGGTGCCACCTCTACGCAGATGACACACAGCTCTACTACTCTTTTCCACCCAATTTCAAGGAAGCCCCTCGGGTGCTGGACGAGTGCCTGGCCGCTGTGGCTGTCTGGATGAGGAAGAACAAGCTGAAGATTAATCCGGACAAGACAGAGGTCCTCCTGGTCGATCGTAAACCGGATCGGGGTATAGGGTGGCAACCTGTGCTGGACGGGGTTACACTCCCCCTGCAGTCTGGGTGTCCTCCTGGACTCATCACTGACGCTTGAGGCTCAGGCGTCGGTAGTGGCCGGGAGGGCCTTTGCACAATTAAGACTTGTGCACCAACTGCAACCGTACCTCATGAAGGCGGATCTGGCCAGGGTGGTCCACGCCTTTGTCACCTCCAGATTGGATTATTGTAATGCACTCTAGGTGGGTCTGCCCTTGAAAACGGCCCAGAAATTTCAATTGGTTCAAAGGACGGCGGCCAGGTTGTTAAATGGTGCTCCTTACAGGGAGAGGTCAACCCTCCTGTTTAAGGAGCTCCACTGGCTGCCATTCATTTTCCGGTCCCAATTCAAGGTGCAGGTTCTTACCTACAAAGTCCTGAACGGTTTGGGACCCTCCTACCTGCGTGACCGCATCTCTGTATATGAACCCACACGATCCCTTTGATCATCTGGAGAGGCCTTGCTCACGCTCCCACCTCCATCGCAGGCGTGATTGGTGGGAACGAGGGAGAGGGCTTTCTCGGTGGTGGCCCCTCGACTCTGGAACTCGCTTCCCAAGGACATCAGGCATGCCCCAACCCTGGCAGTCTTTAGGAGGAGCCTGAAAACATGGTTGTTCCAGTGTGCCTTCCCAGAATAAGGAAACTCCTAGCAATATGTCCTCTAAATGCACTTGATCAATGATCTAGGATTGTCTGCACGCCCCTTTCCTCTCCGAAATTCTATCCTAGTTATATATTTCACCTGGTCGTGCTCAGCATTATCCTTACATTTTAATTATTACATTTGGCCCAGCCACGGGTTTTTAAACGTTGTTGTGTTACTGTTAATGTTTATTGTTTTATTTTTTTGTGATGAGTTTTATCTTATTGTTGTATTAATTGTTGTTATTGCTTTTATCATTGATGTATTGTGGGCTCGGCCTCATATAAGCCAGACCGAGTCCCTCGGGAGATGGTAGCGAGGTACAAATAATAAAGTTTATTATAAAGTTTAAGAGTAAGTTTACAATACATAATGCTAAAACTATACAGATCTACAAGTGGCTGCCACAACTACAAAAATAAAATCAGAAAAAACCACACACCACCGAAACACTCCTATAGAGACACACAAGGGACACTGACAAAAGCACAAACAGACCTGGGCCTAAGGCTAAGAACTTCTCACCGAGTTGATTCGGTCCCTGATTATTATTATTCTCCTCCCTTAGACAATCCCATGGAAGGACACTTCTGCGATTGGCAACAGTCTTCTAATTCAGACATCCGACAGCTGGTATTTGCCCCTATTGTTGTTGTTGTTGTGGGAAAAGTGATAAAGAAGTCCCAATCCTTCTTGAAATTAGTCAAAGATTTCTCTTTCCTCGGCAGAGTGCACTTTGTCCATCTCGGATAATTTGCCGATCTTCATCAGTCAATCTCCTTCTGTGGCTCCCTCTCCTCGTTTCCCTTCTCCCGGCCAAAGCATGGGCAAGGATCTGTCCTTTGGCCATGAGAACAGGTCGAGCGAGGGAGGGAGGGAGCGGCAGGGGCGGCGGTAAGGCCACTCCATCTGGTGCCCCCGGCCACTCTTGGCCTCTTCCCTCCGGCCCCTGCCTACCTCAGCCCTCCTCTCAGTCTGCGGTCACAGTGTCAGAGACACACTTCTGCCAAGCGCAGTCCTGAGAGCACTTGCCAATAGCGTGTTTCTCCTGTTCATCTGAGCCTCAGGAAGGTAGCCTGCTTTCCCCAGACTCAGAGGAGAATCAGGGGGAAGTTACACGTCGCCGGCGAGAGCGCTCTCAGCAGCGGTGTGTTCCTCATTCTCTGAGCCTTGCGTAGGTGTCCCGCCTTCCACAGACTCAGAGGAGACACAGGGGAGACACATGGCACTAGTGAGAATGCTTTCACCAGTGATGTGTGTCTCTTCCTCCTCCTTATCCCACCCGGCCCCCTCCCACCACAATCCTGCCCTTTCCCACCCAACCCCAACCTCTCCTGGCTGGACCTTGCCCTCTCCCATCCCCAGCCCATTTGGCCCTGCCCCTTCTGGCCCTGGCCCCACCCCTTCTGGCCCCACCCACACTCCCTCCTGGCCCGGCCCTTGTGGCCAGGCCCACAGGGTAGCATCAGGGCAAAACATTTTCCCTGTGCCTGTTCCATAGTGTTTCTCTCCAGTGTGAGTCCTTTGATGTGAACGTAGATTTGAACTCTGCCTGAAGGTCTTTCCACACTCCAGGCATGTATAGGGTTTCTCCCCAGTGTGCGTCATCTGATGTGTACGTAGATTTGTACTCTTAGCAAAGCTCTGTCCACACTCCAGGCATTTATAGGGCTTCTCCCCACTGTGAGTCCTTTGGTGTGAACGCAGACCTGTACTCTGAGCGAAGCTCTGTCCACATTCCAGGCATTTATAGCGTTTCTCCCCAGAATGAATCTTTTGATGTGAACATAGTCCTGAACTATGAGAGAAGCTCTGCCCACATTCCAGGCATTTATAGGGTTTCTCCCCAGTGTGAATCCTTTGATGTGCACGCAGACCTGAACTCTGGGCAAATCTCTGTCCGCACTCTGGGCATGTGAAGGGTTTCTCTCCAGTGTGAGTTCTTTGATGTCTGTGTAGATATGAAAGCTGAGTGAAGCTCTGTCCACACTCCAGGCATTGATGGGGTTTCTCCTGTGAATCTTTTGATGTGTGAGTCTTCTGATGTGCACGTAGACCTGAACTCTGGGCGAATCTCTGTCCACACTCTGAGCATATGAAGGGTTTCTCCCCAGTGTGTGTCCTTTGATGTCTACGAAGAGCTGAACTGTCAGAGAAGTTGTTCCCACACAGCAAACATTCATAGGGTCTCTCCCCAGTGTGAGTCCTTTGATGTTTATGTAGACTTGAACTACGAGCAAAACTCTGTCCACACTCCTGGCATTTATAGGGTTTCTCCCCAGTGTGAGTCCTTTGATGTGAACGTAGAGTTGAACTGTAAGTGAAGCTCTGTCCACACTCCAGGCATTCATAGGGTTTCTCCCCAGTGTGAGTCCTTTGATGCAAACACAGGCTTGAAGTATGAGTGAAGCTCTTTCCACACTCCAGGCACATATAGGGTTTCTCTCCAGTGTGGGTCCTTTCATGTCTACGTAGATCTGAACTCTGAATGAACCTCTGYCCACACTCCAGGCATTCATAGGGTTTCTCCCCAGTGTGGGTCTTCTGGTGTTTACGTAGATCTGAATTATGAGCGAAGCTCTTTCCGCACTCCAGGCATTCAGGGGGCTTCTCCCCAGTGTCAGGCCTTTCAGGTTCCTGCAGATGATCCCCTGAGAAAAACTCTTTCCACGTTTCAGCCATTTGGACGCTTTCTCCTTCACGCCAACAGTGATTTGGGTGTTTAATTGCAATACAGAGAGTTGACTCTTCCTTTTTCCCTTTTCTGTAAGTGAGGTCAACAATTTAGCAAGATCATCACCTTGAGAAGACTTCTTCTTTCTGTATTGTTGGTTTCCTTGTTGCATCCAAGAGTTGGCTCCATAGAATCCTCATTTCCCTGGTCAAGAAAGAAAGAAAAGATCAAGGATGAGAGCCAGGAACCCGGTTTTTCCCTCAAAGATTTCCCCCTTTTCCCTTCATGGGTCATGCAGGAAATGGAAATACCAAGAGATGCAGACATCAGGGCTCAAGCACACACACAGATACCAGCAAAGGTGTCACAAGAAATTCAATGTACAGATTTCACAAATATGAATTTAATATGATGTGTGGGAATGATTGGAAGAATGGAAGGATGTGTGGTTGGAGTTAATCATTTTGGAAGCACCAGTATAATATTAAGGCCTGCAATGACTAACTACCTCCTTGCTGGAACTGTGATCAAAACCTGCTAATGAGAATTGATAAGAACTGTGACAATGGTTCTTTCAAGTTAAGGAAATGTTTGCAACCTTCCTTATGTTAAGAAGGAAGTCAATATAAGGTCAACACCAATCAAGAAGATCAACTTCTGGCCAGGAAACTGAGATGGAGCCAGGATGGAAGACGTCTATCATTAATTTACAACTTTGGGATGAACTTAGCAGAATATTCCTATAAAAGACTCAGTCTAATAACGCACAAAGTGTTCAGAACAAGTGGGCTCCTTCTGCCATCTGTGGTGGACTTGTAAAGAAGCAGTGAAGTTTTTGGAGGGTAATTCATGAAGAGACGCAAAAGATCTTAAAAAGAACTTTTACAAGAAAACCAGAGTATTATTTATTATGCTTTACAGATTTGGATCTACAACTGACAGAACAAGAGGATAAACGTTTTACATATATTACGACCGCCGCTAGAATTGCTTTTGCTAGAGAGTGGAAGCAAGATTCAGTACCACCCATACAGGATAGGGTGGAAAAAATCAGAGAAATAAAGGACATGGACGAATTGACTTTTTTGTTGAAGAAAAATACAGGCATTATAATAAAAAGAACAAATTGGGACAATCTTCATGACTATCTGGACAATTTGCAAAAATAAAAAACAAGAGAGACAAGTTTATTATCTTTAATTCAAAAATATATATATATTTTTGAATAATAAGAATATTTTATCCAAGAAGATGGAATGGAAGTCACCCTTTTTTTTCTTTTTTTTGTGTGTGGATGTATTTTTGTAGTTTATATATATTTTTAAATCTTTTTTTAGGGTTTATTTAGGATGTCCTTTTTACTGGCCTTTCCCTTTCTCTTTTTTCCCCCCTCACTTTTCTATACCTTACTGTTCTCACTCTTTCATTGTATTCTATATAAAAATTTAATAAAATTTCTTTTTTAAAAAAGTGTGGCAGACCTGAGGAGTCTGGTTCACCCGCCATGCTCTGCTCCATGGGAAGGAGAGAGTGAGTGTCCCTATGGAGAGTGGCAGGTCTGCACAGGAGCCGTCTGGTCCCTTTGGGGCTTCTTTCTCAAGGGAAGAGGAAGAGAATCATAGAATCAATCACAGAACCAAAGAGTTGGAAGAGACCTCATGGGCCACCCAGTCCAACCCCATTCTGCCAAGAAGCAGGAATATTGCATTCAAAGCACCCCTGACAGATGGCCATCCAGAAGTGCGCTTTTGGAGTTTTAGACTTTGTGCCGGGAGTCAGGTTCTGCTGTATGGAAAACAGAGATCTGATCCTTGGCATTGTGCTTAGGGAAAGGATGCGTTTTGGAGTTTTGAAGTTATGGTGTTGTGGAAGTTTTGGAAGTGTGCGTTGGCAGGCTGCAGAAAAGCAGGGTCTGGCCTAAGAGGGGCTTCTCCAAGGAGGGAGAAAAAGATATGGTCATATTTGGATGCATGTGTCTGAATGTGTGTACATGTGTGTGAATGCTGAGCGAAAATGTAACCCCCCTTTGTTTGTTAACCAATGTAATTGTTAACCAATGTAATTGTGAATCCAATGTAGTTGCAGAGAATCTGTCTGTCTGTCCAATGTCATTCTTTGTCTAAATGTTTTTCTGTCATCTGATCTACCCTCTCACACTGGAAATTGCAAGAAAAAGAACCTATGCTACAAAGTCATTGAAAAGTCATACAAAGGTGTGAAAGTGATTCTTTAAAAGGAGAATTAATCCAGACAGAAAGGTGAAAAGAAGGAAGGGAGAGAGGGGTAGGAAGAAAAGAATGAATGGCAGAAGGAACAAAGGGGAGCTCCTTCCAATATTGGAGCATTCCATTGATTTCATTGGGTTGAACACAAATGTAGCTAAAGGAATGCCAGGAAGGCAGTCAGACAGGAACAGTTCTTTGCAATATTAAAGGGCATCGTTCACTGGATCATGTGTCTCCGTGAATGACCAGCAGAGGTGGCCCCAGGTAATTTTCAATGGTAAGCCAACTGTATTCCCTCCCCCCCCCCCAAAATCAATCACACACACACACACACACACACACACACAGATATAATGGGCATGGACAAATTTCAGCCCTCCAGGTATTTTGGACTTCCTACTGTTTGGAATTGTGGGAGTTGAAGTCCAAAACACATGGAGGGCCGAAGTTGGCCTATGCCATCTCTCTCTCTCTCTCTATATATATATATATATACACACGCATGCATACATATATATACATACACACTAGCCTTGCCCTGCCATGCATTGCTGTGATCCAGTCTGTTGATCTGGAAAATAAAGTAATGAGAAAGATGGTTTCTAATCTCTGTCCTGTCTCTCTGCTTGTGGGTAAACAGTATTTCTTGTTGTTTCTTTGTCAGAGTTGATGTGGAGAGTGTCTGGTTTGCCTCCTCTGGAACATAAAACATATCTTTGTCCTTCTTTAGAGGTCCCTTTCAAATCTACAATGATATTATATTTTCCATATGTGTGTGTGTGTGAATCCTATTGGACTCTCTCTCTCTCTATGGCAGGATGGCTCTTTGTCAGGAGGGCTTTGATGATGTCTTCTTGCCCCAGGGAAGGGAGTGGGTCTGGGTGGCCACAAGGCAGCATTTCTCGCTCTAGGGGTCGGGACCCCTGGGGAGATATGAGGGGGTGTCAGAAGGGTTGCCAAAGACCACGAGAAAACAGTGTTTTCTGTTGGTCATGGGGGATTTATGTGGGAAGTTTGGCCCAATTCTATCGTTGGTGGGGTTCAGAATGTTCTTTGATTGTAAGTGAACTATAAATCCCAGTAGCTACAACTCCCAAATGTCAAGGTCTATTTTCCCAAACTCCATCTGTGTTCATATTTGGGCACATGGAGTATTTGTGCCAAGTTTGGACTAAATCCTTCATTGTTTGAGTCCACAGTGCACTCTGGGTGTAGGTGAACTACAACTCCAAAACTCAAGGTCAATGCCCACCAAACCCTTCCAGTATTTTCTGTTCACTGTGGGAGTTCTGTGTGCCAAGCTTGGTTCAATTCCATCATTGGTGGAGTTCAGAATGCTCTTTGATTGTAGTTAACTATAAATCCCAGCAACTGCAATTCCCAAATAACAAATTTAATGTTTTTAGTGATGGTCACTCCTTGGGTTAGCAGGTGTCTTGTGGACAAATTTGGTGGCCAGTTGTCCAGTGGATTTTGAGTTATGTCACTCAAAACGAACAGAGCATTTACACACATACACTCCTTCCTTCCTTCTCATCCTTTTCCCTGCCCTCTTCCTATTCTCTTTGTGTGTGTATATATCTATACATATCTCTCTATATCAATATTCCCCTTCCTTCCTTCCTTCCACTTTTCCCTGCCCTGTTCCTATTCTCTTTGTGTGTATATATGTCTATACATATCTCTCTATATCAATATTCCCCTTCCTTCCTTCCTTCCACTTTTCCCTGCCCTGTTCCTATTCTCTTTGTGTGTGTATATATATCTATACATATCTCTCTATATAAATATTCCCCTTCCTTCCTTCCTTCCTTCCTTCCTTCCTTCCTTCCTTCCTTCCTTACTTCCTTCCTTCCTTCCTTCCTTCCTTCCTCCCCTTTTCCCTGCCCTCTTCCTATTCTCTTTGTGTGTGTATATATCTATACATATCTTCTATATCAATATTCCCCTTCCTTCCTTCCTTCCACTTTTCCCTGCCCTGTTCCTATTCTCTTTGTGTGTATATATGTCTATACATATCTCTCTATATCAATATTCCCCTTCCTTCCTTCCTTCCACTTTTCCCTGCCCTGTTCCTATTCTCTTTGTGTGTGTATATATATCTATACATATCTCTCTATATAAATATTCCCCTTCCTTCCTTCTTCCTTCCCTTCCTCTCACACTTTTCCCTGCCCTCTTCCTATTCTCTTTATGTGTGTGCGCACGTCTATATCTCTATCGATCTAATCTATCTCAGGCCTGGGCCAACTTCGGCCCTCCTTCCAGGTGTTTTGAACATCAACTCCCACAATTCCGGGTGTTAGGAATTGTGGGAGCTGGAGTCCAAAACACCTGGAGGGAGGGTCAAAGTTGGCCCAGGCCTGTATATATGTGTGTGTGTGTGTGTGTGTATTCCCATTCCTTCCCGCCCACCCTTTTCCCTGCCCTCTTCCTATTCTCTTTGTGTGTGTCCCTTAATTCAGTTCCTCATGTCGTGGCAACCCCCAACCATAAAATTATTTTTGTTGCTAATTCATAACTGTCATTTTGCGACTGTCTCTTTTAAATGGTCTTTTAACTTATGATGATGTTTTAGTTAATGTTTATCTGTCTTTTTTATTGTTGTTGTTGTTGGCATCTGTCATGAACTCATACCTTTTCCGTAGGCCGCAGCCTGGTAGAGAGTAGGCTGGCCTCCATGTTTGGACAGGCAGAGAGGCAAGGGGAGGAGTCAACTCTTTTCTGATTGGGTCTGACTCAAGGGAGAGGAGTTGTAGGAGAGATAAGTAGCTTGCCAGCCCTGACAGAAGGGAGAAGGGAGAAGGGAGAAGGAATGTAATCTTGAACGAAGCAAGATTAGAGGAGGTTAGGATTTCAGTCAGGGAATAGTGGGTATGTTTTCTAAGTGAGCTAGCCTGGAAGAGATTAGTTTGGAACAGGGGTCTTCACAGGAATCTGGCTAGGGAAGTCAAGTGGGAATTATCTCTCAGGTGTCAGAGTAGAGACTCTGTGTGACAGCCAGGGGAAATTGGCTGGTGAAATTCACTGCTACATCATATTATTAAGGGTAGAGTGAAGGGAATTTAGCTCCAGTTATAGAAAAGTAACCCCAACCTGAAGAAGCTTTTCGTTTGAGAAGAAGATTGTGCTTTAGAAACCAACTAAGCTTATGTGCCTCGTAGTAGTCTGTTGTTTAC